GGGTTTAATTTCAGTACGATAGAGTGACTTGATGTTGGAGTCGTAATGCCGCCACGAGTCTGTCCTATTGCCGCACAGTTTCGCGTCATGTAGTGTTTTGAGTGGGGAAACTTCACTAACGAATTTCTTATTCTGAGGATAGTGTGGATTGAAACTTGGTGTCACAGGGGCGTGAATAATTGACATTCATTTGTCAAATTGCCATTTGCCCAGTTTGTCATTAGTCGCTCCTGGTGGGCCCCTGTCTCTACAGTTTGTTAGACTGCTGCGTTGTCATTCAAATTAGAAAAAATATATTATGGTCAAAGAAGTTACTTAGGTTAGTATATAACCTACTGTAATCGGAATGTTTCTTCGTTGCGATGGAATGGCAAATTTAATTAGTCGATAACGTATATCATGTGTGAACTTTCTATATATATTTGTGCATTGCTATTAGGACAATAAACCTACTTTAACGGTTCTGATAGAAAATGAATTACTTATTTATTAATCCTTGTTGTGCAATTCCGTGTGAACTAAAAGTAGTGTTCTTGATAATGGCATTTGAGCCGCATTTTTAACACAAAGCTAATTAATGTAACGTCGAAAAAATTGTCTGGCCGCGCGGGTGCCGGTTGTGGTTGGTTGTTTTGTATCGCATTCTCTAAACTGAAATGTAGAATAGCTACGTAATAACACTATAGCAGACGCCTGCGAAAGAGCGTATTAACATGTTCAATTCCAAGAAGTTTGGGTTGTGGTCACTAAAATCCATCGCTCACGCCATGTACCTATAGATGATAAACAGGTTGTGATGGGTGGCCTCGTTTGAGGGAGAGTACGATACCGGCACGTGGGGAACTTGCTATCGAACACGTTCACACTAGAGAGAGGAGCGGTCAGTCGGCTTCTCACCCTGCCCTCATTTCAAATGAAATTTCTAATCAACCAGAGATTATCATTACGAAAAAACAAAAGCGACCCGAGTAACCAGCGATCACAGAAAACACTCGCTCGCCCCTCGCACGCCAGATTGCTGCATCCAGATGATGAGACCGGATACCCAGAGGAAGCGTCGCCGGATGAGGTGTTGATTCCTGGCCCGCTAAGCGCGAATCTTGCGCGCAGTTCCGGCGGCAAGGCGCACGCGACCGCGGGGAACATCCTAACGAAAGTATCACGCGCTGGCAGCTATTGATCGTGCCCGCGAACTCCAAAGGCCGGCGCACGATCAAATTAATTGCCTGCCAACGAACAGTCTCAAATTTTAGCGCGGTGTCTAATTCACTACGCACACAATATGCACACGCCCATCCGCGCCGCAGGCCTGAATAGCTGATTGTTTCACGTGACGTCATAAGATCAGGTACACGCTGTATTTGTTATGTGTTGTGGTTGGCAGAAGCAAAGCGGCTGCTATGACCAATTTACAGTGAATGACCACAATGGTTTCTGATAGAAAGCACCTGGTTTATTGTAGTGCACCGTACAACGTGCGGTGCTGCGCGTGCGTGCGCTGTGCACGTGCGTGCATGCGTGCGTGTGAACTTTCAACGGGTGTGCAGTGCGTGGCGCGAGAGTGAGGGGGTGCGAGCTTCCGTGCATGAGCCCGAGCTGGCCCTCAGCGCTGTGTATCACTTGGCGTCAGCGAAGGGGGCAGTAAGCGGCCGTGGTCAATCGTCCTGCGCTGGTTGTCGACCTTGCGTAGACTTGTGAGCCGAGCTCCGCTACGCTCCGCGTACGTGGTCACCTGGCTAGAGAGCAGCAGTGCGAGGGTGCGAGCTTCCCGGGTGACTGAGCCTAGCTGGCTCTGTGTTGCTTTTGGAGCTGGACGCCGGCAGTTATATACAGCCGTGAGGACACCTAACGTGGGTCACAGTCATGCTGACCGCCCCGTGTGCCTGCAAGGTGTCCCGTCCATTTAAATCTATAGGTCAAGTGGTGCAGCATGGCTTTCCTTTCCAATCCGCTGCTAGCCCACGTGGTACAAGCCGTACGTCTTCAAGGTTGAAATTAAAAAACAGATGGGATTCGATTCAACGACATTTCAGCAGTTTGCGGTTTCTACAAGGACGGGCCGTCCGGGGGCACCACTAGTCGAGTTTAAACCTGGTGACGCGTGGAAGCCAGACGAACGTATGTACTTATTGCTTGCGTGTTTTACCGGGTAGTGGCTATCAATCGGGTGTAAGGACCCGTAGTGGAAGGTAAGGAAACTCCCGACACGACGAAGCTGCTATAGCGACTAACAGCGAGATATAAACCCTGACGTGAACGCAATATCGGTAATATATAAATCTTGTTCTATAGGAACATTGTTAGCTATGTACTTTACTGTTTGTTTTAGAATATCAATATGATTTAAACGCCGAATTTACTTGTGTTCGGCAAATCATATCATTCAAATGTATTGCTTTCTATTTCTGCTTTCGATGGTAGCTTTCTCATTTGTATGACTGGAACGTGAAATAGGATGGATGAGAATATCAAAACTCCGGATTGTGCAACCGGACAACTGCTCACCGCAGTAAACGTAAGATGTCATCGAATTTTCCGATAGTGAATGTATATGCGCGTGTGGTAACCTCGTGTGGTAACCGCGTCGTTCTAACTTACTTCGCTGTAAATCACATGTCAGTTTTACTACGTACTCGATTCAGGAGTTAAAGACATCGGATCGGGACAGCACAGAGCAGTAGCAGTAGTAGTAGTAGTAGTAGTAGCAGCAGTAGCCAGCGAGCAGTAGTAGTAGCTGCAGCAGTAGTAGTAGCAGCAGTAGTAGTAAGTAGCAGCAGCAGTTAGTAGTAGTAGCAGCAGCAGCGCAGCAGCAGCTAGCGCAGCAGCAGTAACAGCAGCAGCATGCAGCAGAGCAGCCAGCAGGTAGTAGCAAGCAGCAGCAAGACAGCCAGCAGCAACAGCAGCATCGTTTGAGCCATGTCAACGGGTCTGAATGTGATATGTTCTCGCTGGTAGAAATGGTTAGTTATTTCTCTACACCACTACACGCACGCGCACGCACGCACGCACGCGTTCGCATGCACGCACGCGTTCGCACGCACGCACACACACACACACACACACACACACACACACACACAACACACAACACACACACCTCCGTGTATGGGTGACTCAATACCTTTAATCAGGTACGTATATATAATAACTATGATGGGGTAGGAGATGGGTGTCGCACGCACGGACACTAAAGCAGACACGTGTCTATAAGGTAAACTTTTGGGCTCGCCCTCTTGACTGGCAGACTTGACAGGTTTAGCTGTATTCAACAATTTTCCGTCGTCCACAAACAGTCATCATGGCATACGCGTGCACGTCTGCGCAGCAGGTTAGGGTGGGGTTGGATGCAGGGAGGTGTTGTGATTCGCGATGTCCTGACGCCGCTGCGACGCTCTCTCCGCTCAGCTGCTGACGACGTCAGACGAGTCGACGGCGGATGTTTCGGGGCTTCACTCGAAACTCGATCGGAAGCACGAGGTAGAACGACACAACCTCGACACGCAGGCCACCTTCCAGACTCGCTTCAGCGATGACATCACCAACATGGCCGCCAGGCTGTCGTCGTTCGCACAGCAGCAGCGAGAGATGAGCGACGCCGTGCAGGAGAACATAGGTGAGAGGAGGGATGCAGCGAGAGGTACCTGCTGAGGGGGAATACGTGGGAATAGTATAGAGGGTGTGAGAGATCGGGAGAGACAGAGACAAGGAGAAGCACTGATCATGAACTAGGAACACACACAGACAGAGAGATTTGGATGAAGTTTTGTATCCGTTTTTTCTCTCTCTCTCTCTCTCTATCTGAGCCAGTAGAAATGGTTAGCCGTTTCTCTAAACCACTACACGCACACACACGCACTCATGCACACGCAAACACACACACACATATGATAGGGAAAACAATACAAATAACTGGGATGATATATGTCTCTGGCTGTAGAATCATCACAGAATCATCAACGGATGCCCAAGCGTTACCGCTTTGTGTCAGTTAACTAACTATACTGGTCTTCATCGTTCAGGTCAAACCCTCACAGCACACAAAGAACGCCTAGAAGTCTTTGTTCAGTACTTGGGTAAATTGTCATGCTCCGTGGAGGAAGGCCATGACAACCTCACTACACGTCGCATGGATCAGTTGGCCAGCAATACGGCCTGGGCGGAAGAGAAGCTCTCGTATGTGCGAGATACTTGCGTAAGTAGTCGCAGCCGTGTTACCGCGACCAGCGACGCGTCTGTCAAACAGAGACATGCGCAAACTAATGATTTTGTAATCGTGGGCTAAAGTCCATTTGACCTTGCCATATGTCTGTAGCCTCTACGCCATTGATGGCTTTTTGTCGAGTTAATTTCGAGTGGCAATGCGTTATTACGTTACATATAAGCACGTTTTTTTTTCGAGAGGCTGAGTAAATGGACAAGTCGTTACGATGATAAATGTTTGTCAGTTATAGCATGCTGTTAGACACTGGTGAATGGTAGTCATACCACTTCATTTACTGAAGCTGTGACAATGATGTAGATTTGTTGTTTCTTAACTTCTCTAATGACAGTGCTGGTTGTAGTGATTCATCAACCCACGTGTGTGATCACTGATTTTTAGTAGTGAAGTAAGTGAACCCACACCAGCCTCAGCACTTACATGCATCCATGTTGAAAGTGACATTATGCTTATATTTGCACAGAGGGATGCGAGCAAGAGCGTGTCACAGCGTTGTCATGAGCAGCTGCAGCCAACTCTGTGGAACATTGAACAACAATTGGCACAGCTCACACAACATATGGCCGACCTCTCCGGCTACGTGAAGCAACAGGTAACCGGTTTTACGATCTAGCATCATTGTCTCTCCTATGTAATTCTAGCAACAATTAGTTCTAACCTATCTCACATATTTCTGTCTTCGATCACACGTTGATTAGTTATTTGATATGCTACGTTATATGCCCTGACTAAAATAATGTTTGTGTATTGCTTATTTCCATCGCGCAGGCCACGACACAACAAGAAATGGTACAAGACTTTGTCAAAGGTGAAATGGCTGGGTTGGAGTCCATTGTCGTGTCCGTAGCAGCGTACGCTAAAGATAGAGAGACATCAGTGAATGCACTGGAGCAAAAGGTGGAAGAAATGACCAAGGCAAATGACAGCTTGCAGCCGATTGCTTCTGTAAGCGCTATTCATTTACTTACTATTGTTAACGAGATCCAGTTTCCATCCTTGTTAACGTACAGAGTTATGCTTTAGTGGTAGCACAATTCAAAACCGTATATGTCCTATTTTACATGTGCTGGGAAAGCAAAGATATGTTACTATTCTTAATCAAACTTGCGCAGTTGTTATGATTAACTAATACAAATATTGCAGTTTTTATTTTATTTTTACAGCTTTTGATTAAAACCATTAATGAGATATTGTAGTTGTTATAATAACTAATTAATGCTAATATTACACTTTTTTATATTATTTTTACAGCTTTTGATGAAAACCTTTAATGAACAGTCACAGACGTACAAACAGGTATAGCGTTCAATCGCACGTGTTTATTCCTTTGCTTTCAACATCTTACATCTAAAAACATTATCATGGGATAAACTATCATTTATTCGGTAACTATAGATCTATTGTAGGTTTGAAGCCATTTTATTTGTGTGTGAATTATAAAGCATTAACTTTATTTTACGTGTTAAAGGTGGGTGAGGAGTTGACAGAAAGCAGACGAGCAAACACGGAATTCTTCAACGTACGCTTGCCCACCTATTCTCGGCAGTGTCATGCCGCGGAAGCGCAGTTCTCTGAATCTTATGCATCAGCACTGAAGACTTCAGACGAGAGTGTTGGCAAAAAAATCAAAATGGTAAGTATATATACAGGTGTTGGAATTTTAATGAATCCTGTGGCTAATGATTGGAAATCATAATGTGAATGTATGCGTATGGAATGCGTATTGGCGCGATGGAAATGCAAATACTATTTTTAAATGTGTCAATTTGAAACGTAGCATTTTTTTGCCATACACCCCAATCATAGCGTTCTGTGTGGTCATTTTAATTTCCATCAAATTTCACTTTTTCCCCACATCAGATGAACAGTGCAAGGCAGATTGCTGAGACAAAGAACTCGGAAGCCCAGAAATGTGTGATCGCTCTGGAGCATGATAGCACTCAGCGATGGACAGACATGAATGCATCGTTGATTCCAGCGTAGATGCACTGAAGAGGATCTCAATGCTCAAACAACAAGCTCAATGAATGCAGCGAGGTAACGTGAATGCTCATTGAAGTCTATATTTATTTTTTATTTTTAATATATATTTTTACATCTATTCATATATTTATATTCAGTGTCTATATAATTGACGAGATTGGATGTAAATGTGTTTTGCACTCCCACATTTTTTCTTTTTCAAATTCCCTCAGTTCATATCCCTACTGTTTGTAATCATGTTTGGTGGATGGCATTCAACTTGGCTTTGAGCGTTTTACTGTTATTGCTGTACGACTATTTATCTACGTGTTTTTCCTCGCCAGGCATCTGTGAAAGAATTCGCACGCGCAAACAACGTCTGGAAGGGGCACTCACCGCAGCACCTGTCCGAACACTGCCAGCAGGTGGCAGCACAGTGCAGAACGAAGTGTCCTGCAGGTGGCGCTGCTCGATCAGACTGAGGCAATGTTCAGCAGGAGCTGAGATGAGGAAGAAGCAGCTAGACACTTCCTTGCTGACGAGCTCAGGTGGATATCCCAACAGGTGGGACTGCGTCATGCTATTTAGAGTTGTGGTGTGTGTGTGTGTGTTTGTGCACGTGTGTGTATGTGTGCGTGTGTGTGAGAGAGAGACTGTGTGCGTGTCTGTGTGGATGTGTGTATGCGTGTGTGTGTGTGCGTGTGCGTGTGCGTTTGCGTGCGCGTGCGTGCGTCACAAGTGTGCATACAGGCAATGTACCTGTCTGCGTGCCTCATGTGTGTATGTGTATGTGTGTGTAGATACAGCATACGTTATCGTGTATTACAACGTTCGCCTCTCTGTGAGTACTAACATCTGTCGCTGTCGTCTGCGCGCGCTGCAGGCCAACTCCGCAGCAACGTGACTTCGCGTACCCGCGCGCGTCTATTTTTCCGTACGCGACAATGCGCGAAGGTTCCTCTGATTGGCTGCTTTGATTTGCTCTGACGGAACAAGGGTGTTGCTATCGTGGAGGCTGACCGCAACGTGGCAGCATCTATGTTAGATAGTGTGAGGTTAGGTTAGGTCAGGGTTAGGGTTAGGTTAGGGTTAGGGTTATTTTAATTATTATTTTTAATTTAAGGGGTTAGTGATATGTTAGGGTTAGGGGTAGGGTTAGAGGTTAGGGTTAGATTTTTGCATCATGATATTGTCCCAACCATAAGATTAATTTTTGTGACATAACATGTCTATATATTAGCGGCGGCGACACATATATATTTAGTGTGAGGTTAGTGTGTGTCGTGTTGGAGTGAGATTACCGTTAGGGTCATTATATTTTGACGTCAGCGTCACGTTATCACGTGACCTCCTCCACGCCCGGGGGCGAGTATTTTTTTCCCAGTCCGACATAGAATAGCGAAGATTTCGCCTTCTGATGGCTGCTTCGATTTGCTTTGCGCTTTGACAAGAGAACAAACGCCATTGGTGTAACATAGCGAAGAATTGCGAATATTTTGGCAATAACTAACCCGTAACGCTAACCCTAACCCTAACCTACTAACCCATAACCCTAATCCTAAACCTCACCAAACCCTAGCCCTAATTAATATGAATTAACACTAATAAATGAAAATAAATTATTAAAAAAATTTTCATTAAAATATTTAATTGTTGTAAATCAATCAACTGAAAATTTCGTTAATTAGAAACAATAGTTAAATGGATAAGATATGAAAAATACAGAAAACAAAAAATTAATTAAAAACAAACGGATTCGAAACACGGACCTTTCACTACGTAAAGCGGTGTGTTATCCACCAAGCTGACAGAGATATATAATATATAAATAATCCTAACTAATAACTAAGCAAACGCGCTGTTTTTGAACCATCAGAGGCAGGATGAACCCAATCAAACCAATGCAGAAGGCGCTAATTCTTCGCTATGTTATGTCGACTGGGAAAAATAACGAGCGCCCGGTGGGATAGGCACATGCAAGCAAAGCAGAGCAAATCAAAGCAGCCCAATCAGAGACCCTTCGCCGCATTTGTTGCGTAGAAACAATAGCGGACCGCGCACGCTGGCCGACCCAGCCCCACGACCCAGTTGCTGCAGACCGTATCGCGCCAGCGTAGGACGGTGAGCGACGTCATGAACGTCATCAGCGCAGCGTGTTTCCTGCCGAGGAGCACCTGTTTTGAGGTACGCGTTTATTATTTATATATGTTATAATTTTATTGGGTAGAGATTACTGGTTACGTTTACATACGTAGGACATAGTGTTCCGGATACTTGCCTCGCCCCCTAGTGTCTCGGTCTCATGTTCTTCGTTCTTCCCCGCCCCCGCTTTTTCTCCCCTCCTGCGGCCCTCCATACTGGCCTGCTCTGTCCCATCCCAGCATGTACTCAAACTGTCTCCTGGGGAAGAGCACTTAGCACATGGTGTGCTGCAGAACTGGACAGGGCAGATGGGGATGCATGAAAAGCATGGGGCTTAGAGGCTTTTATTTGCAGGGGTTAAGGTAAGACTTTAAGAGTGACATTTGTCCGAGATTTCGATGTGTTTCTATCTGTTTCTTGTCATTAAATTGAATGAGCTTCGTGTGTGGTTGTTGTTATTGTGTTTTGCTACACCCATTACGAAATATAGATGGAATGGCTAAAGTGCCTCTTTAAACTGCTTTTAACAATTGATTTATTAGCATTCTGAACATAGTCAGATGCAGCTTGTAGAATCGCTTGATCGTCGTACCGTCAAGCGTCCGTAACAGTTGGCACAAATCTTTAACCGCTGCGACGTACGGTCACGAATATTTGGCACATTGGGGGGATCGTCAAAACGAGTTGGGATGTCTGAAAGCTGGGGTTCAAAGGTCAAGGTCCAGAGGTGTAAAAGAAGGGACATTCACTCCTTAACTTAAGTATAGGGAGAATGCCAGAATCTGCGGCACAAATCTTAAACGGCTCGTCCTAGGCTGTGATAGTTGGTTTATAGCATTCAGGTAGGAAAAGCATCACTGTTCGAAATTGGAGGTCACAGGTCAAGGTCATGGGCACAGAGCAGATTTTAGAACATTTTTTGAGGACATGGTCTGAACAGACGCGATGAAAAACTTTTTTGTTCAGCGGATGACCTAGCATTTTTATGACGCATTAGTGAAAGACGATGAAATCTCACTTTCTGCTGACATGTGAAGAGTAAGTGTCAGATAACTTTTTGACCCTCAAGAGGAGGGTTAACATGGATTTGTTGACTGTCTGTTAGAAAGAATTTGACTGCGCGGTTTGCTTAGAATCTATAGCATCCGGATGTATGGGCTACCAATGTCACAGTGAAATTTCAAAGCTAAAATTTGGTTGAAGCAAGGTTTTAGCTCGCTTAAATCGTATAATTTGCTATGGCCATCTGTAGCTGCAGTATGTTAAAGTGTAACCTATGCGCAACTGCAGTGGCTACTGCCAGTGCATGTCGTTATGGTCTGTGTAGTTTTTTGACCTGCGTTAATTGGTTACAGGTGGCAGCTCTCTACTTGCAGGGCCTGTAGGCTTGGCCGTAGTAAATGGATGAGTGCTTACGTATTCTTGTCTTGCAAATAGTTGTTGCTACTATGTACGATGGAAGCTTCCATCTTTAATAACTGAAGAACTTAAACGTACGCGCCAATCGTCGTGCAACTTTCATACGATCCACGAACATTCACTTTGAGAAGTTCCTGATACCATCCTGTGCATTCCACTGTTCGCGTGTATGTGAACACATTTGGGACCT